AAACTAAGTGTGCAGCAGCACTTTTCACTAGAGCCAAAAGGTCAAAGCCACTCAAATGTCAGAAGGAGTAAACAAACCGTGATATAGCCATTCAGTGGAATAGCAGTCAGCCAGGAAGAGGAATTAGTACACAGTAGGGTATGGATGAACCATTAAACTGGTGCTCCTTGGGAACAGCATTAGCACAGAAAAGAAATGAGCTATCAAGCCCCAGAAAATGTGGCAGAACTTAAATGCACGTTGCTAAGTGAAAGAATTCGATTTGAAAAGGCTCCCAATTTTACTGCATCCTGGGAAAGGCAGAACTAAGTAGGCCGTAGAAGGGCAGTGGTTGCCAAGGGCTATCACGGAGGAAAGGATGACCAGGTGGAGCACAGAAGACTTTTGGGGGCTGTAAGACAGCTCTATCATGGTGGAGACATGGCATCACATGTGTGCAAACCCCAGAACACACAGCACCAAGAGCAAACCCTGCTATGAGCTACATACTCAGGTGAGGATGATGTTGACACAGGCTCATTGGTTATAACATATGCACCAGTGTGGGCGTTAGTTAAGAGGAGGCTGTAAACGTGTGGGGGATATATATGGGATTATATGGGAATATCTCCACTTTCTGCTTAATTTTGCTGTAAACTTTATTTGTTATTGTTTATTTTTGTGTAAAGAGTTGGGGGATAGGCCAGAGGAGTGGAGGGGTGAGAGCATTCAGCAGAGACAGAGTGGGGAACAGAACAGGCACCTCTACTGAAATATACTGCTGAGGGGAGCAGCGGGTGAGACAGGAGAGGTCTGCTGCACCATGTGGGTAGCTCCCTGGCCAGCCAGGGATCAAACTCATGCTGCAGAGGCTGCAGATAGCTTAATAGTACTGTGCTTAATTCCTTGGGCCACCAGGGAGGCCCTTGCTGTAAACTTTAAACTAAAAATAACTTATTTACAAAACTGCTATCTTCTAGGAAGTCACCACAATGACCAACACAATGGGAGAGAGGAGAGGCCCCACTGCGTGTTTTCCAGGCCCCTTAGAAAACACGAGGTGCTCCTTAGGCCACAGACACACAAATCTACACGAAAGGTGATGTTGCAGCCACAGCGGGGATGGGCCCTGTTCAAAAAGGCTCCACGTTATCATGGCAACACTGAAAGCGTCTATAAAGTTACCTAGCGTGCAGCTGGCATTGCTGTAAACAAACAAGTAAAGGGCAAGATTCTTTTTTTTTTTTTTTTTTTTTATAGAGGCATGTTTTTTTTTTTTTATTTATTTATTTGTTTGTTTGTTTGATACATGCACTGGGTACAGTCAGAAGCACGGGAGGGTGAGAGAATTCACCAGAGCCAGAGTGGGGAGCAGAGCAGGCAGAAGGACTGAAGTACACTGCTGAGGGGAGCAGCGAGCGGCAGGAGAGGTCTGCGCGCCATGTGGGACCCTCCTCTGGTGGCCGGGGAGCAGCCGGGGATCGAACCGGCGCCGCAGAGGTCGCCGGCAGCTTCGCAACCCAGCGCTCAACCGCTGCGCCACCGGGGAGGCCCAAGGGCAAGATTCTTGCCAAGATAATTCATGTTCACATTGAGCATAGCAAGCACTGCGAGAGCCGAGGCAGCTTCCTAAAACATGTGAAAGGAAGTATCAGAACAAAAGGAGGCTGGGGAAAGGCACTGGGGTTCAGCTGAAGCACCAGCCCGCACCCCCCTGAGAAGATCACTGTGGGAGCGCCCCTGGGAAAGAGCCTGAGCTGCTGGACCCTTCCCCATGAATTCATGGCACCATAGGTGCAGAAAAAAATAAAAGACCTCTGAACTATTTAAAAAATGACTGGGCCTCCCTGGTGGCACTGGGGTTAAAGATTCAGCACTATCAAGCTATCACCAGACACTGAGGCAGGAGTTCGGTCCCCGACCAGGGAGCTACCCACACGGCACAGCAGACCTCTCCTGTCTCCCCACTGCTCCCCTCAGCAGTGTATTTCAGTAGATGAGCCTGTTCTGCTCCCCACTCTGCCTCTGGTGAATCCTCTCACGGCCACTGCCCCCCCCCCACACCCCTCTGGCCTACATCCCAGTTCTTCTATGCACAAATATAAAAAAATTATAAATGATTTATTTAAACGGGGGAAAAAGTACTTCAATAGGTGAACATTTTCTTTAACACTGCAGGATAATCAGGAAACAGTGAAATGTGCTCGACTGGACATTTGGTTGTAAACTTTTTTAATCTTTTAGAGCCTCAGAATCTTGTTTCTTTAAAAAAAAAAAAAACTGGTTTCCCTCTTTCATCGACTCGACTCGCAGGATCAACTTTCAATTCACTCATGTGCCTATGAAAAACAGACGCCTCATTGTAAACACTTGAGTCATAATGCAAGAGAGAACTTTTAATAGGATCCAAAATGCAAATCAGAACTTGGTAAGTAAAATCCCAACGTCTGCATTAACTCCTAACAGAGAGCTTAGAGCAGAAGGTCAGCAGGATTTTGACACCCCCGTCACAAGAGGCTGTCACAGGGGAGGAAACTGAGGCTAGTGTGTGCGTGTGTGAGGCCACATTCATAAGCAGGCCCATGTTTGTGTTCTTGGTATCAACTGGGAAGCCAGTTGCCCCAGAGAAACCATTTTCCTGGGTAATGCTGTGTGACCAGCCAGAAACCAGTCACATGTTTTAAAGAGAAGCCATAACTGAACACTGTTTTGTTAACCACATAGAAACCAAGACACGTGCATGAAATGCTGCTTCGCCTGGACAGACTAGAAGTCCCATCAGGTACATGGCTGCTCTGGGTTTGAAACTGATATGAGATTCTTTTTTGAGGTCCAAGTGGATCGCAAGCTCTTTCATGCATTGGATGTGATTCAGTATTTCTAGCAAATAAATCTCAAAAACCCCAACAAACAGCAGCAAAGCAAGAGGCTTTTCATTCATAAGAATATATGCACAAGCCCATCCTCGCAATAAGCCCATCCTCCGGTGAGCGCTTCTTCCTGCAGGCATCTGAGGTTATTTTGAGTTCCAAGAATATATCTTTTATGGCTCTTGAAATAGGCCTCTCATTTCTGAAGACTTTGCATATGTAATTAATAACAGCTTGAGACCATGTATATGCCACCATCTGAGCGAAACTGCTAGAGGCCTGGACTTCAACTTTGTCAGATGAAGGAACACAGACTCAAGATGGCGAGAGCAGTTTTTCAAGACCATAGGTTAGTTTACATGACAATGTAAGCTGTGACAAATGTCCCCCGAGATGGCATTCTTTTCTTTCACCTTTTAAAAGGAAGCCATAGCACCAGGTAGGGGAAGGATGACATTTATACTCCTGGGGAGTCACAATGCCCTCCTTCTAGCAACCCACAACCACCCTGATCAATTAACAAAGCAGGTTTTGTTCAGGGGATGAATGAGGACAGCTTCTGGGCATTTTATTAAATCTTGAAAGCCGTGGCTGGCTGCCACCGATGACGCCTCTTGGGTTCCAATAGCCTAATGCCAGACTCGGACTTCCCAGCCATCCACCCAGCTCAACACCAGACATTTTGGCCTGGTGGGATATTCAGGGAGGCTGAAGATTTTTTCACGGAGGGTTTTCTGTGATGGAGACAATAGTTGTTTCTTCTAGAAACAACCAGAAACACAGCACGAGCTCGTTCCTCACACCAGAGGAATTGATAAATAGCTCACCGGGTGAAACCACAACTTTATTTTTTTTTTTTTAAAGCAGATAACACCAAAGTACAAAGTATCCATACTCATTGCAAAAATAATTACTGAGACTTTGAAAACATCACACGAACACACTGAGCCAAAGGTTAGGGCTATCATTTTCAGCCAATATACAGATTTTTGTTCAAGATCTAGGCTTCACGTCTACATAATATCATTCACATGTGTTCCCGTTCCCTGTGCCTATGTGTTCTCAAGACGGAGACGCCAGACGTTCAAACCCACTTCGTCTTGATTTCCAACATGACACAGCAGTTAACGGAGAAAGGGCTTGGCCAGTCCCAGAAATCATGTCTTCTGATGTGATACAACAAAAGGCAGTTGTAAAAAATCAAATCAGACTTCAGATTCCTTTGAAACAGTTCAGGACCCGAAGCTTCTCAGCACCACGGTATCCGGACGTGATCAAAGAGTTCGCCCTTGTCTTCCTAAACACACCATGGGAAACCCAGAGTTTCATTATGGGGTCTCTGAGAGTGACACCCCACCCAAGTAAAGGCAGTGAATGGAACAATCTGTTCCTTTTTCTTTTGGGGGGCGGGGGAGAGAGTAGAGACAAAAGGAAAATGAGATCCGTCATATGGTTGTAAAACATTGGTTTTATAAAAACCCCTCCTTTCGAAATCATGTTCAAAGGTATTAAAGACCAAAAGGAGGTCATAAAAACTGTTAATACAAATAATTTCTCTGTGAAAAAAAAAGCCCTTCATGTAGAAGGGCACAAGGAACCCAGGGGAGGCAGATCAGAGTAGATCCAGCCCCTCAACTTCTAGTGCATTTGGGACTTTGGGGGTCTGTGTCTGCTGGGCATGAAAAGTCCCATCTTTAAAAACAAATTAAGAAATTAAAGTGAATGTGTGTGCCAACAGGAAACCAGTAAGGACAAAATCTGAGAAGCAAACCCGCCAAGGAGACAACAATTTTGTCATTGGAGGGGGACGGACAGACGGGGGACAGGCACTCGAGGCTGGTTCGGTGGTATTCTGGACAGAACCACCTCACGTATAAGGCAAGCTGTGGCTACCACCAGAAAGGTCCACTGAGGCAAGAAAAGAGGGCGGTCAAGGGCAAATCATCAAAAGAGATTCAGACGGGACAACGGTCACAGTTAGGTGGACGACTTGGGTGATGGGCAGCAGGCGGACGCAAGGTAAATGTCTCTGCGTGTCCCGCGCACACTCCAAGCAGCACTTTCTGGGGTTTGGAGGTCTGTTCCTTTGCGATGCCTTTCCTCCACAGAAGACACGGAGGGGAGGTGGAGCCCTGGAGATGTGATCTTCGAGGCGACCGTCCACCGGGAGGCGGAGAGGCCTTCCTGCAGGGCTGGCCGAGTCCTACAAACGTTTGTAGGTGCCCAGGAGAGCTTTGCAGTTAGGGCAGTAGTGGTCCACGTCCTGCAGGGCGTCCACGCAGAAAGGGATGAAACAGCAGCCAGCCACACACCTGGGAGAACACAGAGCAGGTTACAGCTGCAGCCGTCAGCCAGTGTCTCCCAAAAGGGTCCGTCGGATGTCCTAAGCCCCAAGTCCTAGGACTCAAACACAGGTGGGGACCAACTTTGAATCAAACAGACCCCATCTCATCGCGACGGCCACGACGAGGCTCTTCTGGGTAAGCAGCGCGACTCAGCCCATCTGCAATGACGGAAGAGCCCCTGCTGGCTGATTTCTTCCAATCGGTGCCGATAGCTCCACTATCGATGATTAGGAAGGACAAAAGATCCACTTCCACTGATTATAACAGAACCCCCATGGCAATATTCTGTTTGAAGGTTCCTGGCAACCAACCCAAACTTTCAAACAAATAACTGAAGATTTGTTAAATCCCCTGCCCTGCCTGGTCCTATAAAACCCCCCTCTGCCCTGCCCCCCAGGAAAACCACCCTGGGCCTGCCATCCTGCTGGGCCCAGATCATGACCCCTGTTCTCAAATAACCGCTTTCCTGATCAGACGTTATCGTCGCATTGCATTATATATTAAATGTTGCTGTCATCTAGCCTGATCATTTTAAGTAGGAGACCTCACTTAGAAAAAGGGTCTTTGCAGATGTACTTGAATACTTAGGAATTTCAAGATGGGATCACCCCATGACTGGTATTCTTATAAGAGGATACTCCCTGGTGGCCCAAGGGGTTAATTCTCAGCGCTATCAAGCTACTGGCAGCCACTGCGGCATGAGTTCGATTCCCAGCCAGGGAGATACCCACAAGGTGCACCACACCTCTCCTGTCTCGCCTGCTGCTCCCCTCAGCAGTGTATTTCAGTACATCTGCCTGTTCTGCTCCCTACTCTGTCTCTGGTGAGCCCTCCCAGCCCACATACCTGTGGTCTGTACCCCAGTTCTTGTATGTATAAATAAATAAATCTTTAAAAAAAAAAAAAAAAGAAAGAAAGCCAGACCCCCAGGCCCAGCACTCAGTAAGTTTCCTTTCTGTCGGGCCTCCCCGGTGGCGCAGCGGTTGAGCGCTGGGTTGCGAAGCTGCCCGCAGCCTCTGCAGTGCCGGTTCGGTCCCCGGCTGCTCCCCGGCCACCGGAGGAGGGTCCCACAGGGCGCGCAGACCTCTCCTGCCGCCCGCTGCTCCCCTCAGCAGTGTACTTCGGTCCTTCTGCCTGCTGTTCCCCGCTCTGGCTCTGGTGAATTCTCTCACCCTACCGCGCTTCTGACTGTACCCAGTGCTTGCTTGTATGAATAAATAAAGAAATAAAATAAATCTTAAAAAAAAAAAAAGTTTCCTTTCTGTCTATCCCTGACTGCAAAGATGAAAATTAGGTTTTTTCCCCTTCTATTTATTTATTTGTTTGTTTGTTTGTTTGCACAAGCACTGGGTATAGTCAGATGCGAGGGAGGGTGAGAGAATTCACCAGAGCCAGAGCGGGGAGCAGAGCAGGCAGACTGACGAAGTACACTGCTGAGGGGAGCAGTGGGCATGGCAGGAGAGGTTTGCACGCCATGTGGGACCCTCACCCGTGGCCAGGGATCGAACCGGCGCTGCAGAGGCTGTGGGCAGCTTCACAGCCCAGCGCTCAACCACTGTGCCACCAGGGAGGCCCGATGAAAATTAGTTTTAATACGAATGCCCAAAGGCGATGAACTTGTGTTTGGCATTTTCTATCTGGGGAAAAAAAATCAACTCATCTGTTCCGAGTGAGACAGGAGACTAAATGCCTGGGACCTGCTGGTTTATTCTTCCCCACAGAACAGGTGTCCTCGGGGAAGTGAATTAATGTCTCTGGGCCCCAGGCTGTCCTCCCACTTGGGAAGAGAAACTCGTTCCTTCCTGACCTGAGTCATGAGCGGTGATGAGGAAGACGCCACCGGCGCAAGAGGCCATCCTTGGAAAAACCGCCCAAACACTATTTCCTTTGAGAAGGAAAATGGGACCCACGTGGTTTTCTGAGACTCACATTGCTAGGAATGAGGCTACCTGTTTGGGGGGGAAAGTCCATTGGGAGGAAAGTCCATTGTGCCTCCTCAAATTTCTTGCAGAAGAAAAACGATTATCTTTCAATATAATACCCTTGGTGCAGACATAAATATTTACACAATCTCCTTGTGCACGCAATGGGGAAAATACTTGAGGTCATAAATGGATAAGAAGCTTTGAAGAGATTGCTATAAAGTACTTAACAGATTGTTGAAAGCATCTCTCAGAGTCAAGCAAACCTTGTTCTTTAGGTCATGAAATTCGAGTCAAAGACCCCCTAACAGTCTAACCCCACAGAGCAAGGCACTGCAATCCTGTCCCTACAGGCAGGGAGTGGGGCACAGACGCAAGCAGCACTGGTGGAACAGCCCCTTCCAGGAGCCAATATGCTCAAGGTGTGGTTCTCTGGGGGTTGGGGTGTCACCATTTTACCCCTCTAGGGGCACTTTTGGTCATGCCCATGGGGGCAGAGGTCAAGATGCTGATAACACTCCACTATGCAAAGGACGGCTGGTAACACAGAAGGATGTGCTGCAGCTGGGAAATCCAGCAGGGAAGGAATTCAGACAAGCCCGCGGGCTGAGCAGACCCCAGACTTACCCCAGCAGGCAAAGACTCCCACAGGAGAGCCAGGTGAGGGCACCAGCGTTATAGGACAGCCGAGTCACAATCATCTTGTTGCAGGAAGGACAACACATCTGAATCGGGCGGTCGAGATAAGACACGGGCTGCTGCACGTAGACGGTCTGCACGGCAACTGGCGGGAGAGAAGAGAACCAGCCGGGCTGATCAGGGCATAGGCAAAACCTTGGTTGAATGACATGAAGGTGGAGGCAGGGGCTCCACAGGCCCTGCACACCTGTGTTCCTAGCAACGTTATTCAGTGTCCAAATGGTGGAGGTGACCCAAGTGTCCATTGGCGGATAAATGGGTAAGCAAAATAGGGTCTATCCAACAATGGACTACTATACAGCCTTAAAAAGGAGATTCTGACACAGGCTAAAATGTGGATGAAGTTTGGGGATGCTGTGCTCAGTGAAATAAGCCATCCCTAGAAAGACAAACACTCTATGATCCTAATTATATGGATCCCACTTATAAAGTCATCAGATTCCATGGAGACAGGCTTAGGGGTTAATTCTCAACACTATCACCCAAGAAGGCCTGAGTTCAATCCCGGGCCAGGAAGCTGACCCACACGGTGCAGCAGACCTCTCCTGTCTTGCCAGATGCTCCCCTCAGCAGTGTATTTAGAAGATCTAACTGTTCTTCTCCCACTCTCCCTGGTGAATCCTTTCACATCACACCCCCCACTCCACCTCTAGACTACATGCCAGTTCTTTTATGAAATAAATATCTTTAATAAATTCCATGGAGGGGGCCTCCCCTGGTGGTGCAGCGGTTGAGTGCTGGGCTGTGAAGCTGTCCCCAGCCTCTGCAGCACCAGTTCAATCCCCAGCCGCTGGCGAGGGTCCCACATGGCACGCAGAACTCTCCTGCCGCGCCCGCTGCTCCCCTCAGCAGTGTACTTCGTCAGTCTGCCTGTTCTGCTCCCTGCTCTGGCTCTGGTGAATCCTCTCACCCTCCCGCGCATTTGACTGTACCTAGTGTTTGTATAAATAAAAAAAATCTTAAAAAAAAAAATTCCATGGAGACAGAAAATAGAATGTCAGGAGCTGGTGGGGAAAATGGGGTGGGAACAGAGTTTCAGTAGATTTCTGGAGCAGAGTGGCAGAATGGCAGAACAGCATGTGAAGGGACTGCATGCCATGGCCTGTACACTCAGAATGCTGATGGGGTCAAGTTCATGCTGATGGGGGTCACACACACACACACACACACACACACACACACACACACACAGAAAAACATTACAAAAAAGGGAAGAGAAAACTGGGATTTCCAGAATGATTACACAACGGGCTCTTGAAACCACCAAACAGAAGGTGGGAGGACAGCTTGTCTCTGGATCTGGAGAGCTTTTTTGAGAATGCAGATTCCTGGGCCCTGCCCCCAGGACCACCAGATTTACCAGATCTGGGACAGGATCCCCAAATTGCTTTTCAAGCTCTCCCAGCAGTTCCACCGAGGTGGTCTGCAGACAGCAACTTCAGAAATGGTGATGTGACAGGTTCTAGCCTCAAATGTTTTCCACGCTGATTAGTGGATGTCAGGGGTGGGGAGACAGGGGAATAGGAGACCACCTCTGAAGGATGCAGGGTTTTTTTCCTAGAGTGATAGAAATGTTCCAGAACGTTTCGGGATTAGTGCTAATGGTTGCACAACTCTGTGGAGGTCCTAAAACCACTGAATTGTATACTTTATTTTTTTTTTAAAGAATTATTTATTTATGTACACAAGAACTGGGATGTAGGCCAGAGGTGCATGGGGGGGTGAGAGAATTCACCAGAGACAAAGTGGGGAGCAGAACAGGTGGATCCACTGAAATACTTTGCTGAGGGGAGCAGCGGGCAAGACAGGAGAGGTCTGTGTTGCACCATGTGGGTAGCTCCCACATGGCCGGGGATCGAACTTGTGGTGCAGAGGCTGTGGATAGCTTCACAGGGCTATTGTTAATTAAACCCTTGGGCCACCAGGGAGGCCCTAAATTGTATACTTTAAAAGAGTGAACTTTATGGTATGGGAATTACATCTCATAAAGCTGTTTAAAAAGCGGAAGTGACAGAGCTGTGCCAGCCGCAACGAGATAAGCAGGGCAGAGCAAGCCCTCTGGAAGACGATCACGCTTCTCCCACGGGCTCCCTGATAGGGTCCCTCCCCACAAGTCAAGGAGCTGTGTTGACACATGAAATAAGCCTATGAAGTCCTGCTAAAAAGAGAAAACTATGTGAAAAGCGTGTTCCGACACCAGAGTAATCAGGCGGGAATCTGGGCGATGGTTACGGCATGTTCCTCCCGGGCTTTGGCAAAGGACTGAAGCTCAGATTTCTGTCCAAGTGACTCAATTCTGTTCCCCTTACACTAGGAAACTGCTGCCCAGACCCACAGAACTCAATACGGAGAAAGACCCGGACTGCAGGAAGCAGCGAGAAAGCGCGCCTTAGCCCGACAGGTAGGGAGGAGGAAGCCCGCTTACTTTTTGGCCCAGAAACCAGTCCTTGCTCTATGAGAGCGTCATCTCAAAGAGCGAAGACATCACCTTGTCCTCTCCCGCCTCGAGGGGTCGGTTACCTGAGCATGATGTCAGTGCGGCTCATAGAAATTTACTGGACATAATGACCCCTGATGAGCTCTGTTTCACAGATGGGGAAACTGAGGCCCAAGTAGGTCAGGTGAGCTGGGTACCCCTGGGTCACAGGACATACCAGAAGGCAAGCAAGCATCACAAAGAGGCTGCTGGAAGGCCAAGGAGCAAGCTGTGCTAAGGGTGGGCTGCAGCCCACCCAGTCCTGCCTGGCGCTGCCCCTCCCCCCTCCCTCCAGCCTGGGCCTCCGGACAGGGGGACCTCGGGACAGGGGCTCCCCCGGCAAGCCCCTGAGGCGTGGTGGGGCTGCTGTGCGAACCTGGGGCATCTGCCCTCGCTGCAGGGACGAAAGGGCTGCCTGGGATTCCAGGCTGGGTGAGGCTGGGCACTTGGCTCTCGGGCAGGGTCACTTCAGTGGCTCCCGGATGCTCAGGGGTCCCCCAACTAGGCGGAGGGCCAACAGGTAAGGGGGCTGGGGCGCACGTACTTGCGCTGGCGTTGGGGACAGGCACTGGCTGGGTGTAGTAGGCAGGAGGGTTCACATTCTTCCCATCCGGGCGGGTCACCAGCCCCGTGGTGGGCCCGGGCACCGGGGCTGGCGACGTGGGGAAGTAATTGTTAACAGCCACCGTCTCTTCATAGGATGGGGGCGCACTGGGCACCGTGGAGGGCTCAGGGGCCGACTGGTAGAATCCTGGAGCAGACATTTTACCTAAAGCAAAAACAGAAGAGACAGCATGAGAAAGTCTCCTGGAATCCCATTCTCTCCCGCCTCCATCTTTAAATTTCTACCTGACAGACGGGAACTCTGAGGAACTGACTGTGTCCAGTCTTGTCCAGAAGCCAGAGGAAGTTACTGTCCCTTCAGGACCCAAGAACTAACCGACTCAGCTAGAGACTCCCAAAACAAAGATAAAAGGTAAATAGTCAGCACCCGAAACACCTAAAACCTAAAACACTCCAGAAAGAAAAGCACAGCAAGTCTAATGTTTCTTTTTTTTTTGTTTTTTAACATCCACTTACCCATAGGTAGAACTGGGGTGCAGGCCAGGGGTGCAGGTGGTGAGAGGATTCACCAGAGACAGAGTGGGGAGCAGAACAGGCAGACTGACTGAAATCCACTGCTGAGGGGAGCAGCGGGCGAGTCAGGAGAGGTCTGCTGCGCCATGTGGGCCAGCCAAGGCTGTGGTCATGAATCCCTACACCGGCCGGGAGGCCCCCCCTAACATTTGTTCACATGTCTAACCATCACCCAGCAACACCCAGCTCAGCTCATCCTATTTCCTTTTGCTTAAACCGCTGAGGGTGATCACGAACAGTGACGTGCAAGAAAAAAGCATCCAAACCTGACCACAAAAACTCACACATTCAGTGCTGAGTAAAAGAAGCCAACAGAAAGTTCTAGAAATAGCCAAATGTATGGGGGCTAGAAGTCAGGGAAGCAGCTCCTCTTGGGAGAGGGCAGTGGAGTCTGGAGGGGGGAGCGGCCCTGGGGGAGCTGGCCAGGTCCAGTTCTTCATGTGGGCAGCTGGCTTTGCAGGCACGTTCACGCTGTGAAAATCCGAACTGCACAGTGAGATACATGCACTTTTGCCCACGTATGTTAGCCTATTTTAAAAGCCAGGCATATATTTCTTTGTGTGAGGGCCAAGAAAGAGTCCCCCTGCCGAGGTGGTACCGGCCTAGAACTCCAGGGCTGTGCCAGGGTGTGCTCCTGCGTGCAGCGCAGCCGCGGCGGCTGCAGGAGGACACAGAGCCGGCCTTTGTGCTCTGTTTTCCCAGCAGGGCAGGGTGAGGGCTGTGGTGGAGGAGCCATTCAGACCTGTCTCTGGAGACAGGAGCTGAGGCCCAGGGCAGGCGTCAGGGGCCGGGGGCTGGGATGGGCCAGTGTCTCTTCCCACGCTTCCTGCCCACGCTTCCTGCCCCGTGTGCCAAGCCCCAAGGGAGTCAGTCACCGCTCCAGGGAGAAGCAGGGAGTCAAGGACACCCTGCCTGAAACTGAGCCCGAAGGAAGTTTCTCTGAAGGGATGACAGGGCAATTCAAAGTGGAACTGGAGGCTTGAGGAAGTGAGCATGTGTCAGTAAATAAGGCTAAGGGGTTGGGTTCAGATGCCAGAAAAATTGGAAAGTCCTTTGGCGGTCTCTGGACACTGTAAGTCTGTGCTGATAGAACTTTCTAAAAGGGTGGGAAGGTTCTCTCTCTGGGCTATCCACTGTGTCACCACCAAACTGAGGTTGTTAAGCATATGGAACCCATGAAATGTGGTTTAATGCGAGTGAGGAACTGAAATTTTTTTAATTTATTATTATTTTTTTACATTTTAAAAGGACAGGTTTATTAGGAAAAGGAGAAAAAGAGGCACCTGTGTAGGCACAGGTGGGAAGGAGAGCTGCCAGCACTGAATTTTTAAATTGTGTTTAAATTGTGTTTAAGTTTAAGCAATTTAAATTTAAAATCTAACAGTCCAATTATTGGAAATCTTTTACGTAAGTCTGGGCCACCTTGGGGTGGGGACTCAACTTTTTCAATAGCAAATTAATTTTTTAATTTAATTTTAATTTAATTTTTTAATTGTAGACACATCAGTTCACAACACGGTATATGGTATAGGGAGGGGTACAGATCACACCTCTTTAGATGTACCACACCCTCCACAAACCATTTCTAGAACTTAGTAACTGAATTGAAATCAAATGTTAATAAAAATTTAGCATCCAATTTGGGGCAGGATGGCAGTGTAGAATACACCTTGGATGTCAGAAACATTTAAAAAGCCTGAAGTGTGAAAGAGCACATCCATGTTTTTTCTTTTCAAAAGATTTTTCTTTTTTATTCATTTATACATACAAGGGCTGGGGGACAGGCCAGAGGTGTGGGGGGTGAGAGGATTCACTGGAGACAGACTATGGAGGAGAACAGGCAGACTGACTGAAATCCACTGCTGAGGGGAGCAGCGGGTGAGTCAGGAGAGGTCTGCTGCACCATGTGGGTCAGCTCCCTGGCTGGGGATCGAACTCTTGCCACAGTGGCTAGTGATAACTTGATAGGTGAGACTTTAACCCCTGAGACACCAGGGAGGTCCCATATCCATGGTTTTTTGACTAACTGCCTGGTCAAAGATATTTCAGATAGATGGGGTAAAGTAAAATATTGTTGAAATTCATTTTACCTGTTTCTCTTTACTTTTTAAAATACAGGTATTAAGGGCCTCCCCAGTGGCGCAGTGGTTGAATGCTGGGCTGTGAAGCTGCCCGCAGTCTCTATAGCGCCGGTTCGATCCCCGGCTGCCGGGTGAGGGTCCCACATGGAGTGCAGACCTCTCCTGCCGCCCGCTGCTCCCCTCAGCAGTGTACTTCGTCAGTCTGCCTGCTCTGCTCCTTGATCCGGCTCTGGTGAATTCTCTCACCCTCCCGCGCTTCTGACTGTACCCAGTGCTTATATAAATAAATAAATAAATCTAAATAAATAAATAGATGCAGGTATTAAAAAAGTTTACATGACATGCGTGGCTGGCTTTCTGCTTCCATGGGCTGGAAGCCATGGAGCCATGGAAGGTTATAGAGAGGAGGAAGCTCCAACCCTAGAGCAGGTAGGTGAAGCAGAAGGTCAGTAAGAGAAGGTGTTACGGAGCAGCCCCGATATAAAAACGGGTTGCCTGTTTGTGGGTCCTCACCTGCGCGCTTAAAGGGGACTTATTTATACTCCACTACAGGCACACACAAAAGGTTCATAAAAGGTTTATTTACAAGGGAAAGGGAAATGAGGAAATGTACAACTCAGGGAGAAAATAGGGAAATAAAGTCTTTAATGCGTCCTACCCGATCCGCCGACCTGGAAACCCAAAGGCACTCTCAGAGCTGGCCGGACGCTGCGAGCTGGCGGAGAGCCATAAAGGGAACCCCCCCCAAAGCCCACGTGTCTGGCTTTATACCCACCTGGCTGCTTAACCCCACCCTCAGGTCCCAGCCACCTTCCCTTTGGTGGTGATGGGATTTGTCTCTCCCAATGTCTTTGGCTTTGGCCTGGGGTGGGGGTGGAGTCCACAAAGCCTGTATGGAATTAGCTGAGGACGTCCTTTCCCCCTAACACAGGGAGAAGCCAGCCTCAAAGGGCGTGTGTGCGCGCGGAGGAGCACAGGGTCCACATACGATCAAAGAGGAGATTATGGGGGTGGGCAGCAAGGGGAGCACAAGATGACAGACCACCTTTGCCAAAACTGTTTCCAGTTTAAAGATGCCCACGAGGTGGTTGTGGTCAAGGGCCATTGTTGGTTTCCTCAGAAATGCCTAAGGCGGAAGACAGACCTTAATGGCAGCCTCAGGACACTCCCCCAGGTCAGCTCTGGCTCCCTCTAGATGGCCCCAGGCGCACCCACCCCCATATCTGCTTAGGCATGGATGGGCCTGGGGAGACTTCAACTGGGGGTGCACAGCTGGGGGGCTCCTGGGAGTCATTTATATCTACAAGGACAGGCAAGGACTCCCTGTCCCTTCCAGTCTGTCCAGGAAAGGCCCACAGAGCTGCCTGCACATGGAGCAGCACCCACCACGTGCAGGCCGCAAGGCCAGAGGCAAGTGCTGTGCTGCGAAAGCCAATAATGGCACTGTTTGTCTGGTTGCAAACAGCACTTGGGAAAGTGGGTGCCCTGGGAGGGGAAAATGAGGTCTCAGGGTGCCCTAACTTGTGCAAATACTCTGGGTCAAATCTCTGGGAGGCAATGACTCAACTCCGCAGGAATTCCTCTCTCCTAGGGGAGCCTGGCCAGAAAGGAAGCCCAGCCCCAGGAGGAAGCCCAGCCCCAGGAGGAAGTACACAGGTGTCCAGGTGGGCTGCGGGGGCGGCCTCTGGAGGGAGGGAGGAAGGAAGGAAGGAAGTAATTGAGGGATTGTTCTGGAAAGTAAGGGCTGGGCTCCTGGTTCAAAGTAAGGGCCGGGCCCCTGGTTCGTGGGCAGGTCGTGACCGTTCGCCTACAGCGGCACATCCCATCATCCGAAATTTCAGGACCTGACTCTTGGATCTTGATCTTGCTGTAGGATCAAACGGTCCCATAAACACACACGTAATTCTGAAAAGACCAAGTAAGTGCAACTGGCCAGGACAGCAAAAACCAACGGCCTGACGACCAACAGTTGTTTGCAAGCTTTCTAAGCAAATTCTACAGCCTCCCTCCCCGGCGCCCGGAAACGGCACTTCCGCTGGTCCTTTCTCTTTCTCATTTTCACTCTCTTTTCTTTTTAATTTGCTTCTCCAAGGGGCAAGAGGCCCACCGAGCCCCTCCTCTAGAAAGGATGTCAGGGGCCTCCCCGGTGGCACGAGGGCTTCAGTCTCAGCACCATGGAGCTATTCGGCAGCCGCTGCAGCATGAGTTTGATCCCCGCAGCATGAGTTTGATCCCCGGCCAGAGAGTAACCCACATGGCGAGCAGACCTCTCCTTTCTCCCCGCTGCTCCCCTCAGCAGTGTATTTCAGTGAAATACTCCCCACTCTGCTCCCCACTCTGTCTCTGGTGACTCCTTGCACCTCTGGCCTACACCCCAGTTCTTGTATGCATAAATAAATAAAGCTTTTAAAAAAATTTTTTAAAAAAGGATGTCAGTCGGCCTCCACTCCCCCCTCACACTTCAAAGTGAAACTCACCAGAGTCCTAGTCTCACCCCGACACACACCCCCACACACAGATGCAGACACACACCCAGTGATATGCACACACG